TACTTTTGGTCTGCTTTGATTTCACATGGAGCTGAAGCGTGATGCTACTCAGGCATGTTGATTCAGTGGTGGTCTTCATTCAGTGACAGTGGAGTTTCCAAGCAGGGGACTGAATCAGTGGTTTCCTTCCCCTGCAGAGTGTTGGGCAATCTCCATCCAGACTGGGAACCAAGATTTTCCATGTAATGCATGTAATGCAGTTGACCAACTGCGGAGCATTGGCTGGCTGGAAGTCTGAACACATCCTCAAGAACAGAACTGACACTTAGCCCTTCGAGGAAGAAATGAGTCCAAGTCAAAATGCTTGCCCTTTCTGGGTTTGTTTGTGCATATGCACAAACTAAAGGACCACACATTGCAGCTACTCGCAGAAATCAGTAGCATACCCCCGAGGAGCATTGTCATCCACGGTGTGAGTGTGCCTAATTTCAGTTCTGACTTCATCTCCATCAAATCTGCACAGGCCTCTGTGAAAAACGCACTACATCCAAGAGGGAAAGCTTTGCAGTGTCTCCAGCTTGTCCTGAAAACCTTGATTATGGGACCAAGAACCAAAGACGGAAACACTGAACGGGGACCTTTAAGATCACACAAATGTAAAAGCTCAGCTTTTACAGCTTAATTAGGATGTAAGTTGTGACAAACTTCAGTGACCCCAGTAATGTCAGTGGGAGCTTTGCAACGGCTCAAGAGGCCAAAGACTTGCCAAGCTTGCCCTTCTGTCCTTCCACCCCCAAGACCTGTTGACAAGCTGCAAGAGGCACTTGCCACCCCAGTAGAGACAGCCCCAGAAAGGGGGAAACAAGCATTAGAGCAAAGCATAGAAATGCTAAAAACAGGAAGGAGAAAATTCTCTCTGGATTTGTGTGTGAGGTTTAGTGGTTTGGTGCTTGGACCCAGCTGCAGCTGACGGGGTTAACAGGACTGCCCAAGCTCCAAAGAAGTTTTTCTCATGTAATTTCTGTTTGTGCCCATTGCCCCTGTTTCTTTCACTGGCACAACTGAGAGCAGTCTGGCTCCTTCATGTTTAACATCCCTGGCCCCACCAGGAATTTGTACACAGGGATGAGAACCCCTCAAGCCTTCTCCAGATGGACCTGCCCCAGCTCTCCCAGCCTCTCCTTGCAGTGATGGCTCCCACTGGTGAAGGGCCGTGTGCTTCCTTCCTGCTGCTGCCCTCCCTGCACCTGCTGCTCTTACTGCATCAAAGACATGGAACCACTAAGACAATCTTCTCAGCCAATAAATGGAGCAATTTAGTCTATGCTATGAGACCATGGACCTCATGGAGGCACCAGGACTGCTGTTAGCAGAGCCACTGACTTCACAAGGAATAAATTAAGAGGAAAGTTCATGGCATGGGCTTTGCTTAGATGTTCTTGGAAGTTCATTTGGTTTTATGTCCAGGTCCTACAGGCTGTTCAAAGCTAACACAGAGAACCTTTTTCTATAGTAAACAATGGTGATGATGCAAAATGTGCTGTAAAACAGAAATGACTCTGAAGATCAATGATACTGTAGAGAGTTAAGATGGTGAACCCAAGCATGATTTTATACCAGCTTTCAAATCAAAAGATAAAACCAAACTCCACTGTCAGGCATTTAGCTCACTAGTTTATAACAGGTATTGCTAACAGCTAAGAAGATCCTGTCTCAAAAGACTTCTGAGATAACAAAAGTGAGACTTTGAGGCTACAGAATATTCTGGAGGCAAGCTGGAAGGAAATGCAAATCCACAACATTTTTCAGTTGTCAGGATTGCCAATTATTTCTATTGTACACACAGAGGTACCTGCTTGCTGCCAGAGGACTGTTCTTGGAGGCTTTAACAGTAAGAGAGTTAGTCCCCTTTCACTGAGTCTTAGTAAATCCCTTGGAGACATTTTGTATATTGATATCTTAGCTTAGCTGTTCTATGGGGCTAGTATCCAAATGGCAGCAATAATGGTGTGTCAATTTTTATTTTAATACACCATCTCCACTCTCCTATTTCCTCTCATAAACAAACAGGAAATAAGGGGAAAAAAACACAGTGACAGGAGGATACAGCCCTCTACCAGCCTGTGTCAGAACCATCTACAAAGCACAGGCCCAAACCAAGCTGCTTTGTGACCCTGCAGAGCACCACTGTTCTGCTACCATCTGTGGTCAGTGTTTGTTACTAATCAAGGAGCCCCAAAATGTCTTGTTGAAATTCGTCTGGTTTTCAAAAACTTGGTAATTCCTGGAATTTCCATTAAAGGTTCAAGGAGTGGTGCTGGTAATCTGTTGTTACAGAAGCAGATGCCCTTTCCAAAGAAGATCAAGTGTGTGCTGAACTACTAAAAGAGACATTTTTTCTCGTAGTAAAAGCTTAGTCCCTGAACCACTCCATCAATCTTACTTCATGCAAATAAGACACAAACACCTACAGAAAATCTTTCAGATTACAGTAAAGCATTTTCCCACCAGTGATTTGTGTAATTGGAAAGGAATGGGAAAGTTGTCACTGATAACTTGGCCTCTAGAAGTTTCCATAGTAGAAGCCTTCAATGTATCAGCTTTATCTTACGTCTGTGTATGAAAGAACAAACTAATTCCCTGTAACAGATAAAACAGGTGATAGGTAAAAGGAACTGTGGCAGAGGATGAGGAAGGAGTCACCAAGAGGGGCCTGTTTTCTCTTTGTTCCTTCCCAGCAACTTTAAATTACCAGTGTTTCCTGCAAACCTGGACTTTGCCCATTGCAAAGACTAAGCAGGCGTTTTACAATGTGAAACACATACATAATATTGTACTGTTGTAACAGAAAATAAGGTTGGCTGGAAAGCTCTATTGATTTTAAAAGTCATCAGGAAGCGAGGAGGATGGTGAGAAACTGCAGCCAAGGCCCCAAGGCCTAATAAATAACCAAGGTGATGGGATTCCTATAGCCCTGTACAGTAGAGCCATACAGATGGATGGCTGAAGATGCCAGGGCTGGCCCCAACCAGGAGCCAGGTGATAGGCCTGGAGACTGCTGCTGCTTGTTGGACCAGGAGCTGGCGGATTGCTGCCAGCAGCAGGGTGGATTTTTCCCTCACTACCCTGCCAACAGGGCGTCTCATCTCCAAAGGTCCCGTACCCAAACGTCAGAGAGCATTCATCACCACGTCTCCTCAGACCTCTCTTGGGCAATGCCACCACTGGCAGGTTCCAAACCGATTTCCTTCCCCAGCCCTGTGAACAACTCTGCTGTAAAAAAATAGGTCATCTCCAAGCACAATCTTCCTCTAAGCATTGCTGCAGTGGCCACCCCTCTCTCAGGATGCTTCTGTTGTACCCAAGGAACATACAGCTCCACACTTTGCGCTGAGGGAAACAAAAGGAGAAGATGCATTTCCTGTGCTGATTAGATGAAGAACTCCTCTCAGTAAAGTATTTTGCCCTCACTGCGTTTAACACACGACTACTGCACTGATCTACAAACCCTCTTTGCAACTAAACAGATTGTCATAGCTACTTTAGTCTGATAGGGTGATTAAAGGAAGCAGTCCTATAAAAATCACTCGTTTTGAGTAAACTAAATGAATTAAATTAAGAAAGATGGGGCTTCATGCCTCATGAAATACACTGTTGGGTGATGCTTCTGTTGCTTTCAAGATTTTAAAAATATTTTTAGTTTTAGAAAAATAATATATCTGAAAAATATCTGCTTTCAGAGCTCATCGTAAACTATCACTTTATTTCTGGACCCTAGTCTAGCTGTTGTGTTAGAGACATTCCAGTCATCCAGCATATCTGAACAAGGTTCCATCCCATTCCGTGGCCCTCTGGAGGAACAGGTTTCCTTGAGCCAGGTGGGGCCACCACCACTCAAGAGGTAGGACAAAAGCTCTGGATTATTGGCCGCACATTTTCAGTGTGTGTAAGCTCCATTTGCAAACACTTGCAAACATTACTACTATTGTGGTATCAGGAGAGTCAAAGCTGCCTGTGTAGTGCAACAAGCTGCTGCACTGTCAGTGCTGTACAGCACAGGTTTTATTGTTTAGGATCTTTACCTTGTTTAGAATGCCTTTTTGTTTTGTAAAGCACCTGTGATGCTCCTACAGATGCATAACACAGACCCTGAGCCTGGCTGCTCCTGTGTCAGGCAACTCATGTCCACTGCCCCTGTGTGGGGTACACAGTCACAAAGCCCCTGAAGGGAGAACCCAAACCAGCACAGGGCTGTGGCCAGTAAAACACTGGTTCATGAGGAAAGACATGAGGAATCGCTCAGTTTGCTCACAGAATCAGACAAGAAAGGCTTAAGCCAAAGGATTCCTAGTGCAGCTCCACCAAAGTATATTTCAAAGAATTAGTACATACATGTATGCTTTGTACTAAAATGCTTATTAGATGGGTGGCCTAGAGGAACACAAACAGAAATAAAAGCCAAGCGATACAGTATCACAGCTTACTTCTCAGTTCTCCCCTAATGACAGATCCATAGCTGTGAGGGCCAAACAGCCAATTACAATCATTTTGGCTAACCTTTTGTTGAAGGAATGAGGGATCCCAGTAAGAGGTGGAGGTCTGCCACAATTCATAAAGGACTAGGGCAATTTAGGAAAAACCTCCAGCCAATCCAAAAAAATAACCCCAAAATCTGGCTTTCAACCTGCAAAGCATATGCCTATGCTTGCAGACACTTGTAGCTTCATTTGTGTCCTCTAACCTTGTCTGCCTTCAAAGCAGACACTGTGGGTCTCTACATCACTGTATAAAACAATGTATGTGCTGTACAAGTAAAAACTGGTACTAACTCCAAGACTCACCAGTTCAGCTACACCGGACCAAGCTCTGAACACATCAGCAGAATATTTCTTACTAAGCACTGAAGACCCAAATTGCACAATACTTTCTCTCCCTCTTTGAATTCCTTGATTAAAGCAACAATCATCATCAAACACAAATGCTTCCTCATAGCCTGTGCTGCCCTGGACCAAACTTTGGAGAAACAATCATGTTTCAGCGCTTCACGCTGTGATACTCACCAGGATGCGACATCAGGACGGTGCTGTTGCCTTTGCCCAGCTTGTTGTAGATCACAGCTGCTGCCGCACCCCTTCTGGTTGCCACTTGAATTTTTTCAGCAAAACTGCAATTGCCTCTTTCAATCAGTGCTATCCACGGTGGTTTTGTGACGGTGAAGCGGGTATTTGCATCACAGGCTTCAAGATTATCAGACACAGGAATGCCCACAAGCCCCTGAGCACTAAGTAGAGGAGAATTTAATCCGTACAGTCCACACATGCAGTGCTCGGACACAGACTTGTTGCTAGTGGTGTCGAAATAGAATAAATTTAGAGAAGCACGCACAGAAAACGCCTCTGTAGTCTTGACTAGACTACTGACAAACATCAGGTGGCAGAAAAAAATGAACTTCTCCACTTGCTTCATTGCTGATTCACAAAATGCAGACGTCTACAGGTATTTGCTTCTGGTGGCGACTGTCCTCGGCTCACAGTCCGCTGAGGGTTTGACGTTTCTGTTCCAACAGGAACCTGACACCACCCAGGTGAGTCCTCAAGGTGTCAGTGAACTTATCTGGAGTGGAGGCTGGGAACAGACACAAGTGACACGCCTGCCTATTGTGAAGTCCAGACACAGACTGAAGGACATTCAGCTCTGACTTCCTGCTCCTTTCTCATGAAGAATCATTCTCCACACCCTTCCCTCCCATTCTGCACAAATTCTAGCTCTGATGATGCTTCCTAAGGGACAGCTCGAGCCCCCTGCTCCTGTTTCAACACTAACATCACCTTGGAGGAGCAGGTCAACTTTCATTCAATGACGTAAGCTCAGGGCTCTGCTTCACAATGCATCTGTTATGCAAATGGCCTTGTTAGAAAGGTCAGAAGCAGAGGGAAGGAAATACAAAAAGAATTTTACCCATCTTAGAGGCTAAGACAACCAAGTTGCTCCCTGCATTTCTCCTTCTAGCTTCTTTCAGTCATCAATTCTGCCAGGTCCAGTTTGTTCTGGTGTTTATAATGAACTGATTTTAATACTGATTGAAGTATGAGATGTAGAATCACCAAAACTGATCACAAACTACCACTTCCAGCCCATTTTCACACTGTAGTTCCCAATTTACACCGAGATGTTCAAATGATTATCACAGAACTCCCAATATCTGGAAGTAGCCTTTTCTGGAGGTATTCTTTCTCTGAACTCAGGCTGTTGTATTCTGTAACAATTACAAATACCAACTACTGTTTTATTATATTTAAATAGAAAAACGAAAACTGTACTAATCTCAGAACTCTGTAGTCCACAAATCATAATGTTAGAGACCTTTTTCCATTTTTCTACAAAAGTCATGCTGCATGCAGTGATGAAAGCCAAGAGAAGCTGCAGCTGGGGGCAGGTAATTTGATGGAAGCTCAACCTAGTTCTCCCGTAAAGATTCTTTCTAAGAGCGAACACGAATGACTGTGGCAAGGATTTTTGGGAAAGCGAAACAGCTTTCAGAAGTGAAAAGAAAATGAAAACAAATAAAAATAAATAATCCAAGTTGTTTACATCTATTTATTTATTTTCTCCAAGTTTTCAATGTTGCACTAGTTCTACATCACATTAATTACAAAAATGATCTTACAGCTAAGATCTAAGTTTTAAACACATAGAAGTACCATTAGCTACAGAGTTTATCTTCCCCTGTTTTTCCTTGAAGTTAGTGCTGGAAACATAAACACGCAAAACTTAAGATTTTATAGTACAGTTCTTTGGTTGGGTATGAATTCTACAGTTCGGGAATGTGCTCTTGTATTTTACCCTCAGCAGAGGCAATACACAGCAAGAAGGATGATTCCTATGGCATTCTGCAGGAGTAAGAATCTGTATCTTGGCTTAACACTGCAAAATCAACATGCTTTGACAGACCCAGCATGAAAAATACTTTGGTTTTGCACTTGTGTCAATAAACACCACCTGAAATAAAACAGCAAGTACTTTCTTTGCAGATGGGACCTTTGCCCCAGTGCTACAGTGCTGGTTTGGCAGGGAGGGGGGAAACAGAGTGGTGGAGCCATATATTAAACACTGCAAGACTTCAGAAACTGAACTTGGCATAGTAAGTTTGGTGTAACTTAAGGGATGGGGTAAGTGCTGCTGTAGAATGACCCAGAGTATTGAAATTCTGGGTCTACTACAGGCATTGAATATTCTGTAGCTAGACACAGAGAGCCTGTGTATTTAACATTGCCACTTCCTTCTGCAATATTAAATCTCTCTCCTTCCCAGCTTTCGCATGAAAAAACTCAAATGACACTTCGGTAAAATAAAATTATATTCTTTAAAGTCTTACATGTGCATTACACACGCTCCACACCATTCTGGTATTTCTTTTAGAGGTAGGAAGTCCTAACATGTAGGATGAACGATTAATGCTATACGTTTAAAGTGTAGTAAGCAGTGCAAGGTGGCAAACACCCTTTGGTGCATTTGTAACTGCATGGGGTAGAGTGGCTAAGACAAGAGAATAAAGTGGCACTCTGTGACAGTGCCAGCCAAGTCTGTCCTTTCATACAAAGATAAATATTTAAAAAATTGCTTCTAGAAATAATGGTTTCTTTAAAATCAGACTTCGAGCTGAAGTATATCTAAATAAAAAATTCCTTGCTGACACAGTCAGCGTGGCTCAGTTTGGTACATGAAGTGCTGGTGCTAATCCCTCTCACTCTAGAGCAATAGCATCTAATTGTCACATACCCCAAGACACAAAAATACACAATAATGGAATGCAAGCACCATCCATCCTGCTCTTCTTGTGTTGGTATATTTTCACTTTGCCTCCTGTGGCAAGGTTACAAGGTACTCTGAAAGGCACGGGTTGACAAACATTGCTCTAGAACTAATACTGTATGATCCATACAAAATATAAACATACAATACATAGTCACATTTAACTTTTAAACCCTGTACAACTCAAGCTAAACTTTTTCCATTAATACATTTTTAAACTGTAAACCACAATAGAGAGACAGGGTAATCTTACATATTTCTTTAGAATGCTAAGATTTTCCCTTCTTATCTAAAGATATGAACTTGTACTACAATAAGCAGAAACGTTTCTCCTTCAATTACCATTAACTGAAGTCAAGGTACAGAATTTAAGTACCTGAAGACAAAGTCCACTGTCCCCAGGGCAGACAAGTGAACTACTTGAAAGAGATATTCCTCAATTACCAACAGGCTGCTAACACATGCCTAGAAGTTTCCCACAAAATAATGTTCCTATAAATCAACACTGTGGGGTTTGGTCAATAATGGTAAAATTTAATTGGCAAGCTTCCATAATGCAATCATTTCTTCTCAAAGAATGGAACTGAGACCAGCATTTCACATGGACAAGTTGTCAAATAGCAGTGTGTTTTAGCTCCTGCTTAAGTTCTTAGGGATTCAGTTGTGTATATGATTTGAGGCTGTTTCACATGGGAGGAAAAAGGGGGACTTGGTTTTGAACTCAGCAGGAGCCAGCTGCTACTTAGCACACAGGCAAAAAGTTGTCAGAATTTTACAGAGTCTCTTGCTCTTGCAGCAGTAGGAGCTTCTCACAGCTGCTGAGCTCCTTCATGTATTCAGAACACAGCTATTACTACAAAGAAAGACGATAGTACTGATCAACAGAAAAATCCCCAATGGTGTGACAAACAGGATCCTGCCATGCTAAGCGCTCCTTAAAGTCTGTTTTGCTCTTGCAAAGCTAGAAATAACTTCCACTAATGAAGTTTCTTTTTTTAAAAATATTTAATCATTTTTTAATTAATAAATAAAATATGTTAAAAAACTTAGGTTCTTTATACTTACTACCCAAAAATGTATATACAAAAGCAGCCATACAAAAAAAAACAGCAGTTAACCTTGTTCAGGTAAGAAGAACTGAAAATGGTTTTTGAATCACCAAAAGCCCAGACCCAAGTACTGAAGGCACCATGGTATTTGTTTTCTCAAAACACAGTAAGCTTCAAGACTGCCACTAAAAGATCACTACAGAACGTAACAGCTCTAATCCTCAAAATTATTCTAATTTCCAGCCTGAATTTTTATCACAGCCTGTTAAATCTTTTGCAACCATTGCCTTTAATATTGGGAAAGCCTGCCCCTCTTTTCAGTTCTCAACCTGATACATCACTTCTGTGTATGTATGTGCACAGGGAGAGAAAGAGAGATGGCAATCATACCACATCGTGGCATCCTATCAAAAGATAAGTTCACTGTATTATCCATTCACCCTTCTTGAACATAAGTGACCAAGACATTGTGTAATCTGTTTCAAGACTGTAAATAAAAGCAACAGCTCTCCTTCTCAGCTACACAGATGTCCATTACAACTGCTGTAAGAAACATAATTTTACATTTCTGTCTGCTAGTTCTAGAAAAGTGCAATATATAGAGGGTATATTCAAGTTACAGCAATTTTATTTCCCTCTTTTTGAACAAGATAAATTTGAAAAATAAGTTATTAAATTACACTGCATCCAGCACATTGGGTTCCACTGTCTTGTAGATTTTGCTTAGAAAGACTTCCACCTTATCACCACCCAAGTGACAGATGTCCAGGATGCAGACAACATGTTTGCCATCTAGATCCATCGCTGCTTTTACAATTTCATCTAGAAGTTAAGAAAAGGTGTTTTAATATACATACAGTAAACAGATATACTGGATTGATATTGTTTTCCATGCAGCAATGTGTGTATGTTCAACCTTCTTTCAGTGAAAAACCTCACTCTACCTATTAAATGCTGGCTTCCTGGGGTTTGGGTTTTGTTTTTTGGTAGAATTTTACTACTAAATTTAATTCCCAGAAATGACAGGGATCCAGAAAGGCTGAAACATACATTCCTTAACCATTAGTGATCCTCACATCCCATAGTATTTATTCAAGGAAAGGTAAAGATGCATTTAAATAAAATCAAGCCTGTCTATATAAACATACAGGAAAATATGATAATTACACAGCATTTTACAGTATGATACACATTAACAGTGTTCACCGTATTTGTTGTAAGGTGCTAGTAATTAGAAACATAATCCCAAGGAAAATAATTCAATAGCAGGCAAATAATTCCATTTACAGGTGCTTTAAGTTGCGTTAAAGCAAACGTTCAAAGGGACTTCAATGAAATGGATTGGCTGAGTGACTTGTTATTCCACTCTATTTCAAAGCAGATCAAGCCAAATATTCACATGCTCAGCCATATATCCTGGCTTCTATGTCAGTATAAATTTGTATCTAAGTGACTGCAAATACTATCTAGGTCACTTAGGACTTAGTAAGATACTATCTTCAGAGTATGAGAACAGCTCTGGTAAAAACTGCCTTGGAAGTTTGGTATTACATCTATTTACTGAAGGTGGCCACATAGAATTCATGCATCTTCCACTGAAGACATGAACGTGTCTGACTTACAGCAGAGATTTCTATAGAGGATTAACTCTTTTATTCAAAGATAAAACAAGAAACTAAACATGAGCAACATCAGTGAAAGCCAGACTCACCTGAAAGTGGAAACACGCCAGGAAGTCTTCCATTGCTACTGGCTGGCTGTTGACTTGCAGAGATGCAACTCATACAAGACAGTAATGTATCATTTTCAATGTCTTCTAGTTGAAATAAGTGGGGATCATCAGGACAAAACAGTGGAAGAAATGCAACATCTATTGCTACATCATGGTTTATACCTGTTGAAAAAAAAATAAAATTAAGTTCTTCAGCACATTAGCAACTTCATGCACTTTGTTCTTTTACCATTAAG